GACCTTGTTTCTGCTCAAATGAAATAAACTGGCTGGTACCTTTGAGTAGAAATGTGCATAGGCCCTCCTAACTAAAAGGACCCTGGATCACTTCAGAGTAAAAGCACAATGGTTACCTTCTGAGAAAATCAACAGTGCAGCAGCTAGAACACGTTCAAATTTAGACTCTGCACAGATGGGTTCCCAGGCCTGATGAAGGGATCAGGGAGCAAGCAGTGGGAAGGACCGCCATGAAGAGCCAGCCTGGAGTCGGGGGCATTGAGGTCCATCACTACCTCCGACTGGCTGGGGTGGGGTGGGGGGGATTTGGAGTTACCTTTCTGACAAGGTAACAATTTAGAGTAGAGTTCCTCAACCTGAGCACTATTGGTATTTGGGGCTGGGCCTTTGTTGGTGATGGGAGCTGTCAGGTGCATTGTAGGACAATTCAGGCAGCAGCCCAGACTGCCATTGCCCAGCTGCCAGTGTCCCTCCATTTGCCCCTCAAGTGAGGACAACCACAAGTGTTCTCTAGACACTGTCAAAGGTCCCAGGGGGGTGGGCGATGGGACAAAACCACACCTGGCAGAGCATAACTTAGATAAAAATGGCCATGAATGAATCTTACCATTGCATTCTGCCTGTGTTTCTGCATTATGAATGTGGACATACTGTTTTTCCAGGTGTTTCTCTTAAAGCTTTTCTGTTTGGATTTCTGTGCCAGAATGAGGAAATGGAAGGCATGCTTTTGAGGATCTCTTATTCTATCATATCCTTCCTTCTTACTCACACCTGCTTGGGCTTTTTTTCTTTCTTTCCTTCCTCTTCTTACCGAGAAATAACTATTGTTTTACAGAATTGATTGAGGCTTGGCAGTTTACTCTATTTTCCTACTGCACTAACTCAATAAATAGATACTTTTCCATAACAAGTAACAAAAAGTACTTTTTGACAGGTGGTTTATACTAGCCGGACATCATTTAAAAGAGCACTTCAAGGGGTTTCGTTTGACGAAGCATCACAAGAAACACTTCCTTTTTGGAGCTTCACAAAACTTCTAAACGGCTATTAAAACCTCTTTCAGGCAAGGGGCTGTTACATGGAAGCCCCCGTGTAACAGGACTCTCTGTGGCTTGAGGGAAAAGCAGTAACTCTCTCCATAAGCATTCTCTTGGCCCAAGCCCACCAGGGAGCTAAAGTGTAATTAATGTTTGTAAAACATTTTTGAGATGGAAAACACTATTAAGTCAGACACTGCTACGAAAAGTGTTATTTTCAAAACCTCACCGACACGCTAGCAGCTGTCTTAACTAGTCCTGAGGGAGACCGTAAAGGCTAGAAGTACCAAGGGGTGACAGAGATGGGGGTCCTAACAGGACTCCTGGCGCCAGGCAAGGAGGTGCTTGAGATAATGATATATTCCTCGCTGGCACGCTGACTACAGTCCTGCTCTCCAGAGCAGTCTTGAGCAACTAATTATTTATGCGAGTGAATAATGGAAATGCTTCTCTTCGTTTTATACCTCGGATGTTGCTGAAACAAATCAACAGTTTCCAACCCAGGGTGCGAATCAGGAGGCAGAATGAGCCAGCTGGTGACAGTGAGTCTGCTAAGAGATTCAAACAGTAAGGGACACGGTCAGAGGCCATAAGGGACGCAGGGATGTCCCAAACATGGGGCTACAAGGCTCAGCAGTCTTGGGGACATCCCCTCAGGGCATGGCCCTCTTCCCAGTCAGAGGTGGAAAGGCAGGGAGTGGGCACCCATTTTACTGCCGTGGACGGGGCAGAGATTCCAAGTATCTCAGGGGCTTGGGATTCATAGAACCCAAAGGCAAAGCAAAGCTGAAGATGTATTCCTTCCTCTGAGCTAACCTGGTTTGGGTGGCAGGATGACCTAGAACCTGGCCCCTGCTTCAGCTTCTGCAGCCTGGCGCTCTCCTGTTGCATGCCATCTGTGCGGCCAAGTACTGGGCCTTGGGACACTGAGCACAGCAGGATGGAGGTACACCTCTGAGCTGGATCATGCTAAAATGCCTCAGGAGGAATGTGGAAGCTGCTGGAACACCTAACAAGGACCTCTACCAGATTGTGGCATCTTGCCCCTCCCTCCCTATCCAAACCAGTTCCAACCACAGGAGTAAGTGTGCCCCAGGTGGCCACTCCCTGGGGGCTGGAGACATGTCCGACTACTTTCAAACTGTGAGATCCTTAACAGATGGCATGCACGATGAGAGGGGGACTTGAATAAACTTGTAAAAATTGGTATTTGTTTGCAATTCTGTTCTCACGTGCTAAAAGTAAACACTTGGATGTATTTTATCCTTTAATACTTTGGGGGGAGAGAGTTGTGGACACATTCCGTGCAGTCCGATCACTGATCTTTCATTCCATGCCGGTAATAAGTGGGAGCCACTGGACTGTAAATTTGAGAGTCCTTCACCAGATACCAGTTCGCGGTCCTGTGGAATTGCATAAATTGGGCAAAGACACACAAATTAGGTCACTTTGTTTTCTTTCAAAGAGCACCCACTGCATTTCACATGCAAGCCAAGCCCCTCCCCACACTGTACAAGGCCTTGCACAGTCTAGCCCTTGCACACTCTTGGGCTGCTCTCCCCTCTCACGCACAGCCCGCCGTCCACATTGCCTCTTTCTGTCCTTTCCACAAGTCTGCTTGCATTTGCTACTCCTGAATGCCCACACCCCTCCCATCTTCCCAACTGGTTCTTTCTTTTCATTGTTTTAGCTCTCTTCAGAGAGGACTTCCCTGACCACTCAAAAAGTCCCGTTCCCCAAATAGTATCACCTTACCTTGTTTTTATAGCACCTACTACTCCGATGAAAGTTCATATTCACTTGTATATTATTATATCCAGGGTGTCCATTTAATGTATTGTCCAAACTGAGCCACCCTTGAGCACAAGAGCCATTAATAATTATGCTGGGACAACGAAATGCTCAACTAACAGGGCCCCCAGATATATGAATCACTGGAATTGTCGCATACCAGGAAATGGAATCTTCCTTAGGGCATGGATGTTGTCTGGCTTCTTCACTGTTGATCCCCGGGCCGGGGAAGTGCCCCTACCACTGGTGTTGAATGAAGGACTTCTACGTGCATGGATTTACATGCTTAATTTTGCCTGGCCATTTTTGTAATTTTCTAGATATTAAAATACGTGCATATATATTTACAATTTTAAGAGAAAGAAATCTTCCCCAAATTATATCAACCGTATGGTAACTATGTAAGATGTAGTAATATGGATGTTGACTGATAAACACATAATTTTCCTTGGTTCTGTATGTGTTTTAATGGCAGTATAATGGTTGAGTTTTTCCTTCTTCAACCTCTTATCTCTGTGACAATAAGGTCTGTAAAATTTTCAAACTAAAAGGAAAAAAATGGGAAGACGGAAGAATGTTTCCTTAAACAGCACATTGGATCCTGAGCTGGATCTCCAGCTTTTTTGGCTTACCTGTTTTATGAATTCCAAGCTCCTGAAACACATCTGTCCCGAACCATGGGGGCCCGCTGCAATCCAGGCCAGTAAAATGGTGGTCCACTCCTTGCCCGTCTACATGCTTACTTACTTCCAGTCACAGTTAAGTGGACCGCTGCATTGGATGGCAGAACCGGAGTCACACTCACAGCCATGTGGCAGGAAGTCTGGGAAACGGGTTTTTAGCATTCTTGCTTTCAGACACTAGAAGGAAAAATGTTGGTTGGATGGGCTGATCCACAATCATCCAAACTCTCCAGAAGCATTCATTTACTTAAAAAAATACTGAGTGCCTGCTATAGACATGGCCTGGGGTGAAGGCATCTTGTCAAGTTTGTTCATCCTCATTTAATTTTCTTTCTCCATCACTTTCATCATCTACTGTTGCAGATTAAACCCTTTACTTCTCTTTTCCTACGGAATTATACCTACTGGGTCTTGCTCTGAAATTATATCCAATGGTGTTGAAATGCAGAAAACAGTGGCTGTAAATGGGCCCCAGAACGATGATATCAGAGGAGGACAGAAGTTCACAGGGATCGCACTTGGCTGAACTAAAATTCAGACTTGGTTGCTTCCCTTCCTGGGAGGCATTTGTGGCTAGGGGTTTGGGACAGAGACCCGGGGCCAAAGAGAGTTTTATACTGAATATATGAACAAAAAAATCAAAGTGTATGTTGAATAATCTGGCCAATTGGAAGTGCATTTCCTGAGCTATATTGATTCAAACAAGCACTTCCCTTACTGATTTTTTTTTAAGATTTAAAAAAAAATTTTTTTTTAAAGATTTTTATTTATTTATTTGACAGACAAAGATCACAAGTAGGCAGAGAGGCAGGCAGAGAGAGAGGAGGAAGCAGGCTCCCTGCTGAACAGAGAGCCCGAGACGGGGCTCGATCCCAGGACCCTGAGATCATGACCCGAGCAGAAGGCAGAGGCTTAACCCACTGAGCCACCCCGACACCCCGTGCCTTACTGATTTTTAATTCATCTCAGTTTTTCAAATTGAGAAACCAGGATACTAGAAAGGGCACATCACAACTAGACAGCTGTGTGACCTTGATGAACTGCTCTGTACTCAGGGCTCTCTTACTCTCATGGTGGTGTTGGGATAAATGATCATTAAATTCTTATTCAGCTCTCATTTCCTATGTATCAATGATATAAGCTAAATAAATTAATAATTGAATATTTAGATAAGAGATATTCAAGTTCCCCATTAATCTCCTGTTTCACCTATTTTCCTAACATATTAACTACTGCCTATTCATATCAGGAAAGGGAGAGTACAGATGTTGTTTGCCCACAGTATGTACACCCGTATTCTTCTTCCTTGGTTCCCCCAACCCTTTAATTAAGAATTGGGTTTTTAGGCCACTTTTCTTTAGGAATAACCACATTTCATATGAAGTCTGTCGGTATTGATGGCTCCAAGATATTAACACATTTCATAAACGTGGGCCCAAGATTCCTGGTGCAAATGTCATTAGGGAGAAATTAAATGGATATAAGAAAATATGATCATGAATAATATTTAATAGTCATTGAACATTAAAATTCTTTTAACAAATTATATAGGTAATCAAAAAGAAACATTCTATTTCTTTCATTTCCATAGACAGCAATGTTGATAGAGATGCCATCGTCTCTTCACTGGATATGTGCAGAATCCTACTACGGTCATTAGTGTTGTTAGGAACACCATCATCTCTTCTCAGAATATCTAAAACACCTGAAGAGAAATATTATGTTGTAGATATATGACATCTTACCTGGATACCTGCAGAATCTCATGGTAATTAATATGGTTAAGGACACACCACTCCTTGTCTAGACTAAAATATTCCAAGGCCACTAGCATGGTAAGGGATAGATTAGCTCTTACCTAGATACATGTAAAACTCCAAAGTCAGCCCTATAGTTACATAGTCATCATCCGCCTGCGAATGGGTAAAAGCCCCACGGTCACAAATATATTCAGACAAATACCATCTCCAATCTGAGTATCTAGCAAGGTGCAGGATCAAGATCGTGGTAGGGACATGTCATCCCTTGCTTAGAAAACTGCAAAATCCCACGGTCATTCTCCTGATTAGGGACACCAACAACTCTTACCTGGATATCTACAGATTTCCAAGAAAAATACCTTAGTTAGAGATACCATCATAGTGTGCCAGGATATCTGCAAAATTTCCCTGATCACTGCCTACAACTTACAAATACTTGCAAATAAACATGGTCACTAGGTTGGCTTCAGAAGACCAACACGGTCTACCTGGATATGTGCAGAGTCTCATGAGCTCTAACTCTGGTATAAACACCATTATCTTGTACTTAGTGCAAACAAAATTTTGCCTTCAATACCACACAGAGGTTCTCAACAATCTCTTAACTGGAGAGAACGGTGGAGAACGGTGTTTAATGATAATGCCCAAAGCCGGACACCTGAAAATCAAATGAGCACTGCATACCTAAAAGGAACCGTAAAATGTATCCAGATACCTGCAAATATCCAGCGAGAAGACCTTGGATAGAGACACTTTTCTCCTCCTGAGTGGGTATCTGCAAAAACACAAATCAAGAGATGATGGTTCAAATAACAATAGTATTCATTCATTCATTCATTTTATTACTAGCATTTTATTTCCTTACTAGCACAAGTTCAATTTATTCATTCATATGGAGTACATTTTTCTCATTTTATGCATTTCGAGCAAGACTTTTTTCCACAGACAGCTATTAGAAACTCAAAATATTATTATATGACTTGAGTGGGTCATTTTTCCCTGGGATTGTTTCTGAATCCCCTTATAATATTTTTAAATTTTAATTCCAGTAAACATACAGTGTTATACTAGTTTCAGGTGTACAATACGGCAATTTGACAATTTCATACATCACCCGGTGCTCATCACGACCATAGTATTTAATCTGGGATTTTCCTGGTATCTTTTCTTGAAGGCCTTCCATCATCTTTTGAGTATATTCTATAAAAATTCATGGTAAAAACTGCGTTAGGAATACATGTATTATCTGAACATCTGAAAAATCCCATCAAATTCATGAAGTCTATCAAATCTACCTAGAAACTTGTGGAAGTTCAAGGTCAACCCCCTAGTTAGAGACACAACAGTCTTGACAAGATAACTGTAAGAAGCCAGCTCAAGAAAGAGGAGATGAGCAAAATGCTAACTTACCTGGACACTTACGTAATCTCTGAGTATCACTGATGTTCTACAAACATTATATCTAAACTTTAAAATAATAAGGGCTAATGCTTACTAGCGTCGATTGACAATATCATTTCTTACCTGAATACCTGCAAAAAAACAGCAACACGAGGTTAGGAATACCATCCATACTTACTCAGCTATCCAAATATTAGATGGTCTGGAGCATGGAAAAGGCTATCATTGTCACTTACCTGGATTCAAACAAAATCCCTTTAACGATCATTATGAGGATTACCATGGTATCTTACCAGTAACCTGAAGAACACATTTTGGCAGATGTGTTAGACACACCTTTATTACCTGGACCCTGATAATAACCTTGTCACCAGCGTCACTGCAGGACTCTCTGAATCTTTTTTCTTTTTTCCTAAAGATTTTATTTATTTGTCAGAGAGAGAGAGAGAGAGCGCTGCGCGAGCACAAGCAGAGGGAGTGGCAGGCAGGAGGAGAAGCAGGCTCCCCACTGAGCAAGGAGCCGATGTAGGGCTCGATCCCAGGACCCTGGGATCATGACCTGAGGCAAAAGCAGACGCTTAAATGACTCAACCACCCAGGCATCCCACGACTCATTAAATCTACCTAGAATCACAGACAGGCCTACCTCGCTGTCAGAAATGCCATCACCTCTTGAATGTTCACCTGTAAGAAAGCAAAAACACACACACAAACACAAAAACAACGAAAATAAACCCAAATCACACTACTAACAGTAATTACATAGATATTTGCAAACTGCTCAATACTCACATGGTTAAACAACTTTTTTTCTAAAATATAAAGCAGTAGGATGACACGGTTTCTACAACTGGTAAAACATGATCATTTCTTACCTGAAAACCTAGCAAAAAGAAAAAGAAAACCCATGGTCAAACAAGAACGAACATCACTTATGTCAGTATGTGACGACTGGATGGTCTGTGATGTGATGAAGGTGCGTACCATCACTTACCTGGATACCAGAAATGTCACCTGTTAATAACCATTAGGTTCATTAGGAACTTAGCACATGAACCTGAAAAACACATTATGATATATGTATAAAAGAATACAACTTGTTCTACCAGGACATCTCCTAAAAATATTTTATCATTTTCATCATTGAAAAACAATGTACCAGAAAAAAAACTGTACCAGAATCTTTGTATACTCCAAGGTCAAGATCACAGTCAGGCGAGACAACATTTCCTAACAGGACACTGGCAAAATTCCCATGGTCACTAATGTGGTAGGAAACATCATCCTAATGGCCTAGCTATGATATTACTCTAACATTCAGAGATAAACAAAAATTTTCTTTAAAACATAGAAAATGAAAACACATGGTTTCTATATGGGCAAGGGATCTATACCATTTCTTACCCGAATGCCCCTGAAGAAATCATGGTATCAATGTTCGGGCCACCGCCAACACTTACCAAATTCTCTGGAGACTGGATGGCCTGTACCGTGGTTTAGGCCCACAGCCTCCCTTACCTGCATACCAGCAACATCCCTGCCCCCATTAATGACCAGTATTAGGTTCACTGTGATCTCTTGACAGGAATCTGAAAAAAACATTATAAAACATAAGTTTAAGGACACAACTTTTCTACCAGGACACCTGCAAATAACCTTGGTCACTTCATCATTACGACACATGTCAACTCTGGATACTTACAGTACTCCCAGGTCAACACCAATGTCAGAAAACCATCATTTCCTGACTGCACACCTGTAAAAAATCATATAGGTAGTACTGTGGCGGGGAAAACCATGACAAATACCTACATACCTATGATCTCTTAACATGTATGGTGTTAAACAGAAATTTTATCTAAAATGTAAAAAGTAAAAATGTATAGTCTCTAGAATTGGTAAGGATTTTTATTTCTTACCTGAATCCCTGTAACAAAATCATGATAACAAGAAGTGTCAGCACATGTTACCAACTTACTAAACATTTGTGGTTTCAGCCTAGCATATCACTTACCTCGATACGAGCAATGTCCTGCAGCCCCATTCATGGCTATGGCTAGGCTCAGGGGATCTCTCCACGTGTGCTGGAAAACGTGTTGTGGTTTATGTGTTTGGTACACATCTCATTCTCCCTGTGCACTTGCAAATCCCCTTGTCACCTGTACCATTTGTACACCATGGGGACCATGAACATTACCTGGACACTCCCAGAACACTGAGGTTAAACTCCAGTAAGGTTTACCTTCCTCTCTTGGGGGCACACCTGCAAATATCTCACAGTAATAATGCAGTTACAACAATATAATAAAGAAGCTGGATGTTTACCATTTGTCTGCCACTGTGAGTGAGAAATACACTTTATCACCATACAAGAGAACAATAAAAACTCCTACTTGGCTGGTAGTAGGAGGGTCCAATTAATGGAACTTGTACTTGCTCAAAATGAGGGAAGTAGGAGTCTGGAGCAAGGACGTCTATAATGAGTTCATATTACACCACGCATATACGGTGTACTGTCAAGGCCCGAGAGGGATATCTGCAAAAATGTATGGTAACCCAGGTGTTAGAGCCACTCACCTCTGTGTATGAAGATCATGTGACCTGTGCCATGGTGTAGACCCACATCATCACTTACTCCACATCTGATATGAGCACGACATTAACTACCAGTGACAGGCTCACAGTGAGGTCTTCACATGAACCTGGAAACAAATAGCATAAAATGTGCTTGGTCCACGGCTCATTCTAGTGGGACACCAGCAAATTGCTCGGTCAACTGTATCATCTGCAGTTCATCAGTGTTACCTGGATACCTGCAGGACACTGACGTTTTATCCTAATGAGAGATACCTTCCTCTCCCGAAGGGCTACCTGCAAAACTGCCCTGGGCAGTAACATGGTGAGGGATAGTATGAGGAATGAGCAGGTTTTTGCCTATCCACCACCCGGGGTGTAGGAAACATACAATCTCGGAACAAGAAACCAGTAAAGTCTCATACTTACTAGCACTAGTTGGGTCAATTTCTGAGCTGCAAAGATGTCAAAAACACAGTTAACATAGTGTTGAAAGCCACATTCACATACGAAAATCAAGCAGCTCTCTAAGGCGGTAATGCCGCATATTCTCATACCTGTGTACCAGGAAAAGCCTTCACGGGGACAGCTGTGAAACCACTAGGTGACATGGTGTCTGGGAAACCACACACAATCACTCAGATATCTGAAGATCAGATGGTCTGTATTGAGTTAAGACCCACTTTATCACTGATTTGGTTACCGGTAAGGTCCTGTTAAGGACCATTGTCAGGTTCACTGTGATCTCATGACTGCTGGAACCTGAGGACATGACGGACAAGTGTGTTGAAGGACAAAACATGTTTTATCTATAAAAATTAAAAAAAAAAATCCTGCAAATAATCTTGATCACCTCCATTGCTGCAGGAACCACTAAGACTCCTGGGATCCTTGCAGAGTTTAAAGGTAAACACCAGTGTTAGAGAAACCGTCGTCTCTTTCCTGACTACCTAGAGAAATGTCATTGTAAGTACCATGGTGTGGAACAGAGGAGTAAGTTACTGGGACACCCACCTATCCCTCAGTTGCTACTAAGGTTATATATACAGTATATCTAAACTCTAAAATAATAAAAGACTTATTGGTTATGTTGGGAAAGACTTAGTATGTTGGGAAAACATAACTGAGTAACCGCAAAAGAAAAAAAAAAACAAACCCACCATAGTAACACAAATGTTAAGAACCCCACTGACTCTAAGATCTGAAGATCAGGTGGTCTGTAGGGAGCTTGGGGCAGAGAGCATTACTTACCTGATTCAAGCAATGTCCCTTTAATGATCATTAGGAGGTTCACCGTGATCTCTTGACAGGAACCTGGAAAACACTTTGTGGCAAATACGTCTATAGTCACACTTTCTACAGCTGGACCCGCCAAAAAACCTTGTTCACTGCCATCACTGCAGAACTCATCAGCTCTCCCTGGAACCTTGAGGTACCCTAAGATCTGTGCCATTGTTAGAGACGTCATCATCTCTTGACTGCTCTCCTGAAAAATACCAAGGTTATTCCTGTAACTCAGAGCTCAGTCGTAATTATGTGGGTATCTGTAAATTGCTCAACAATCACATGGTCAAACATAATTCTCTCTAACATGTAAAACAGTAGGATAATATGGTCGCTAGAATTTATAAGGTTTCTATAATTTCTTACCTGACTACCTGCAAAAGAGTCATGATAATAAGAAACGTGAGAAACACATCACCTATGTAAATATCTGATTATTAAATATTAATTAATATCAATTAATATCTGACTATTAAACACAGATACTAAACATCTGTAGGCCCAAGCATCACCCACCTCCATACAACAATGTCCAATGTTAACTACCATTGATAGGTTTACCATTAATGTGTTGACGTGAACTTGAAAAACATACCGTAATAAATGTCTTATTTCACTTCCACACCTTCAAAGTCCCTTGTCACTTGTATCATTTTGGGATCCATCCACAGTACCTGGATACTTGCAGAACGCCAAGGTCAAACCTTAAGAAGAGACACCTTCCTCTCTTGGAAGGGTGCCTGCAACAACCCCTTTGTCAGTAACACCGTAAAGGACGATATAATAAGTACATGAAAACCTGCATAACCATCTTTCATTAGTATTAATACATGTTATTTAATGAAGAATAGACAAATCTCACTCTTACTAGTATTACTAGGGACAAGTTAATTTCTTAACTATATGATGACAAAAACTAGGTGAATGTAAGTGTCTCAGAAACATTCATTTTGTAGATCCTAAGATTGAGAATGTCTCTAATGAGGGACTGTCACAACATCTCCTACCCATACACTGGGGAGGCAAAGGCCTTAACAGGATGCCTGCAAAAAACATGGTAACACTGTGTTGAGAGACCCCATCCTCACTTCCCTAGATAGGTAAAGATCAAATGATCTGTACTTACATACCTGCTTACTATCGAGGTCCAACGCACAACTGTGGTAAGGTTCACTATGACATCATGCTTTCTGCAACCTTTCAAAAACAAGTGTTTAGGGGCTAAATGACAGTTTGTTCAACCTGAATCAAAAATGAAACAAAAAAAGTACCAGCCAATCATGTTATAGTCACATCATTAAGGGAACCACCAACACTACCCGGTTCTTTCAGAACTTCAATGTCAACATCAGTGTTAGAGACGGACCATCTCCAAGCACCTGTAGAAGTCTCCTGGTCAAAAGCACGGTGTGGAACAGGAGGATGACTTAGTGCACACCTTCATATCCTTCGGTCATCGCTCAGGTTAAGCACACATGATAGGTGAACTCTCAAAAACATTAGGGATATCCTTGGGACAATAGCATTTCTTCACTGAATCCCTGCAGAAAAACAGAAAAGTTTGGCACACTGTCCATCCTTCCCTACATAACTGAAGACCAGACTGCGCTTAGGGTGCCAGAGGCCCACGTCATTACTTACCGAGACACAAGCAAAGTCTTATTATTGATCATTAGGATATTTACCATGACTTCTGATAAGAACTTGACAAACCCTTGTAAAAAAGGTATCTACCGGGACACCTTTGCTGCCAGGTGCCTGCGAGTAGCCTTCCTCACTACCATCGCTGCAGGACCCAACACCTAACTCCACCTGGATTCCCGCAGTGCTCCGAAGTCTATGCCATTGTCAGAAACACCATCGTCTCTTCCCTGCTCACCTGCAGAGGGACCCTGGTTACTGTTGTGCTACACAATTCCATCGTCATTATGTGCAGACCCACAAGTGTCTCCTGGTTAAAAATAAATTTTCTCAAAAATATAAAACAGTAGGATAACATGACTTCTAGAATTGACAAAAACACTATCATTACTTACCTGAAAAGCTGAACCAAATCACATAGTAGAACAAGTTTAGTCCTTCATTATCACTTAACTAGGTATGTGAATGTCAGTTGGTCTCATGTGTGAAGATAAACAACATTGCTCATCTGGATACCAGCAATGTCCCCCGTTAACCATTAATTTCACCTTGATCTCTTCACAGGAATCTGAAAAGCACACGATATATGTGTAAAAAAATAGAACCTGTAGCAAGACACCTCAAATTAACTGCCTTATGAGAACATCAGCTCCATCTGAATATCTACAGTACTCCAAGGTCAAGACTATTATCAGATATGACATTTCATTATGAAACACCTGCAGACTTTCCATGGCTACTGCTAGGGTTAGGAAGATTATGGTAATTACCTGAATGTGGCAATCTCTCATTACTCACTGGGATAACATAAAAGTTTCTCTAAAATGTAAAAAGAAAAAAAAAGCACATGGTTTCTAGAACTGATAAGGACTATCATCTCCTACCTGAATACCTGCAAAGAAAAATGGTAACAACTGATTACAAATGTAATCACCTAGCCAGCTATATGGAGAGTGGAAGGCCTGGGCGAGGCCCACATCATCACTTACCTGCACACCAGGAACATTCCCGGTGATAAGCAGTGTTAGGTTCACCATGACTTCTTAACTGGAAAGACGCTGTGAATGTGTGTTTAAAGGACATAACTTTTTCCTATCAGGAAGCCTACAAATAAGATTCACTTCATCATTATGAGACACATCAGCTCTACGGGATACTTAAAATAATCCAAAGTTAATACAGATAAAACAGTCATTCTATGATTGGTCACCTCTAAGTATCCTATGGAGAATACTATCACAGGAAGTATCATAATAAAGACATGTGTACATGCAGTCCCTCAACACTCATAGGGTTAAAAATGAACATTTCCAGAAATATAGAAAAGTGGAGAAATACGGTCTCTGGAGCTGGTGAGGACTCCATCATTCCTTACCTCACACCTTCAAAAAAAAAATTCATGGTAACAAGGAATGTAAGGACGCTCATCACTTACCTAGGTACCCGAAGGCCAGATGGCATATGCTGTGGTTTCAACCCATAGGATCACTTACCCCCATACCAGCAGTGTCCCACACTATCCCTGATAAACTCACTGTGAGGTCTTGATATTAACCTGAAAATACACACCGTGGAACATGTTTTTGGTACAGGAATGATTCTACTTCCACTCTTGCAAATTCCCCTAATCACGTGTATCATTTCAGGACCCATGGGGACTACCTGGATACTTTGACTTACAGAACTCCAAGGTCAAATGCTGGGAAGGGACATCTACTTCTCTTGAAAGGATACCTGAAAAAATTCCCAAGGTCAAGAACACGATGATGGTATAAGACAAATTATTTGGATTAGATACTATCTCTAAAGAAGATTAAGAAAAATCTAATTTTTATTAGTATTATTAGGGTCAAATTAATGTCTTCATTGTATACATGCCAAAACAAGATAAATATGAGTCTTGAACATTAATTACATAGCTATCTGAAAGTAAAAATCTCTCTAGTAGGTTAATGTCACATAGATATTCCAGCAAAGAGCAGAACAAGATACATGCAAACAAACAAGTAACACAAGTATGACAGACATCATCCTCACCTGCTTCATGCTGAAGATCAGATGGTTTGCAATGAGACCAGATTCACTTTATCATGTACCTGGTCAAGGGCAAGGTTCTGTTAACAACCATTGTTAGGCTATGTTTTCTTGAAAGGAAACTGAAGAAACACACAGGAAAAGTGTGTTTAAGGACACGACTTCTTCTACCAGCACACCTGCTAATAATCCTTTTCACTTCCATTATTACGGAACACATAACACACTGATTCTACCCTGACACTTGCATTAATTCAGGTCAACACCTTGGTCAGAAGAAAGCCATTGTGTCTTAACTGGATTCCTGCAGAAACACTGTAGTCACGACTGGGGTGGGAACTTGACAATTACGGATACGGTCAACTCTCAACACTCACAGGGTTAAACATGTTCTCTCTAAAATGTAAAAAGTGTAAAGTCATGGTCACTAGATTTGGTAAGGACTATCATTTCTTCCCTGGATACCTGCAACGAAATCATAGTAACGAGAGGTATTAGACACCATCCCTTACCTACATTACATACAGGATCAGATGGTCTGTGCTGTGGGTCATCCTCACTTACCTCCGTACCTGCTGTGCGCTTCCTGTACTGTGACTGATGTCTTAACATGAACCTGAAAACACAGCATAGAAAACTTGTTCCACACACATTTTATTCGACCTGGGTAACTGCAAGTTCTCTTGGTCAGCACATTATTTTGTGGCCCCTTTCCACATTACTGGGCAATATGTAGAACTCAAAAGGTTAAATTGTAGTTAGATTTATCTTCATCTCTTGAGGGGATACCTGCAAAGATACCACAGTCATTATCACAAATATGGAACATATGATAAATTACCTGGATAACGGACTATATAGGTCTATTGGTATGGGCGTATAAACACATGTTATCTCTGAACAAGGAGACAGTAAAAGCTCAGGCTAGTATTGTCAGGGACAAATTGATTTCTGAACAGTCTGTATGCCAAGAAGATTAATATAAAGGTCTAGGAAACATTAATTGCTTATATATCTGAAGATAAAAAATCTCTAATAATTTATTATCACATCATCTCATATTTTTATACTAGCAAAGAACTTAATGGGATCCCAGCAAAAAGCATAGTAACACTGTGTTAGGGACACCATCCTCACTCACCTAAATACCCAAAGGTCAGCTGGATCTATGTTTTGGTAAAACCAGTCTATCACATACCTGGTTACTGGCAAGGTCCCATCAAGGACCGTCATTTGTTTCACTGTGATGTCATAATGGCTGGAACCTTAAAAAATACAACAAGTGTGTTGAAGGACACAGCTTACTTTACCTGGGGGGGAAAAAAGATACTTACAAATAATTTTGGTTACTGCCATTATTGGAAACTATCATCACTACCTGGATATTGGCAGAACTTCAAGATTAACACCATTATGAGAGACATCGCCTTCTTGAGTATCTGTAGGGATCTCATGGACAATAATGTGGGGTGGAACAGTAGGGTAACTTACCTAGACACCTGTATCTGCCTCCATCACTACTAAGTTTAAATACCCATTGAATAGAAACTTTATAGTACTAAGGGCTAATGGTTACGACTAATATCGATTAGAAGAGTATCACTTCTTAACTGGACACATACAGAAAAACATGCTATTGCAAATGTTAGGACCATCCACACTAATCTAAGTATTTGAAGATCAGATTGTTTGTAAGGTGCTTTAGGCTCATATCATCACTTACCTGGATGCAACCAAAGTTCTGTTAACAGTCATCATGAGGCTTACCATGATTTCTTGACAGCAACCTGAAAATCACATTATGACAAAGGTCATTGCAGACACACTTTTCCTCTCAGGACCCTGCAAATAACCTTGTTCAGTTCCATCATTGCAGGACCCATCAGCTCTACCTGGATTTTGCAGTGCTCCACCACCTACACCACTGTTAGAAACACCACCACCTCTTGAATGGTTTTCAGAAAAAATACCATAGTTTCTAGTGTGATGGACAGCTCCATGATCATTACAGGAACACCAAAAATTGATCAACACTCACATGGTTAAACAGACATTTTCTCTAAAATAGCTACCAGTAGGATAACATGATTGTTAGAATGAGTAAAACGTTATCATTTCTCACCAGCACACCTTAAAAGAATCACATGGTAAAAAAAAGCTAAGGCAATCAACATCTTACACATTACTTATACACACACACACACACACACATAGATCAGAGGGTCTGATGTGGTAAAGATACACAACACCACTTAGCTGGATATAAGAAATGTCCCCCATTAATGACCACTGTTAAGTGCTTCATGATCTTGAAGAAACCTGACAAAATAATATGATGATATATGTGTAAAGGGATATGACTTGCTCTAACCAGAACACCTGCAAATAACTTTGGTCACGTCCACTATTAGGAGAATGTCAACTCTACCTCAATACTTGCAGTACTCCAAGGTCAAGGCCATTGTGGTTAGGTAAGACAATATTTCTTTAGAGGACACCTGCAAAATTCCCATGGTTACTACCAAGGTTGGGAACATCATGATAAATATCTGGATATGGCAATCCCCCAACACTCACAGGGTTAAACAAACACCTTTTCTAAAATACAAAAAGTAAAAACTCAACATTTCCAGAATTGGTAAGGACTATCAATTCCAACCTGAATACTTGCAAAGAAATCATGATAACAACTCTTAGAGACACCATAATCACTTACCTATTTGGAGATCGGATGGCTTGTGCCATGGTAGGGCCACAGCCTCCCTTACCTGCATACCAGCAAAGTCCCTGCCCCCATGAATGACCTATGCTAAGTTCACCGTGAGGTCTTGACTGGAACCTGGAAAACACATCATGAAATTTGTGTTAATGGAAGCAACTTTTTCTGCCATGATACCTGCAAATAACATTGTTCACTTCATCATTATGGAACAAAGTAACTCTAGCTGGGTACTTGACATTAAAAATTAGCACCAATGTCAGAAAACCACCAGTGTTTGGACACTTCTCAATATCATATAGATAGTACTATGGAGGGAAATATAACAGAAATACTTACATATATGTAATCCCTCAACACTCACAGTGTTCAACATAGACTTCCCTGGAATAAAAAAGTGAAAACTCATGTTTTCTAGAGTTGGGCAAACCATCATTTCTTTCCTAAACACGTGCCAAAAAAATCATGGTAACAGGAAGTGTGAGGACACACAATCACTTACCCACGTGTGTGAAAATCTAATGGTCCGTGCTGGGGACGCAGGCCCACATCATTACTTAGCTCGCACCACCAATGTCTTCCATCAACTACCATGGAGAGACTCACCATGACATCCTGAAATGTATTGAGAAAACACACTGTGGAAAATGTTCCCATTTACATCTCATTTAAACCATACACCTGCAAATTCCCTGGCCATTTGTATTGTTTTGGGATCCATCAACACTACCTGGGTACTTGCAGAGCTCCAAGCTTAAAGCTAGAAAGAGAATGGTTCCTCTTGGAAGGGATCCCTACAAAAAAGCCAGGGTCAATAATGCCGTGATGGACAACAGGACACATTACTGGGTATCGGCATATCCTTCCATCACCACTGGTTTTGAAAACACAGTAGCTCCAAACAAGGACACAACTCTCATTCTTACCAGTATTAGAGAAACACGTTAATTTCTTAACAGAATACATGCCCAAACAATGTCAATATAGAATCATCAACATATTGATGCACAGGTATCTAAAAATTCGAATGTCTCTAGTAAGCTAATGTCGCATTATCGTATACCTGTGTACTTCTTAAGAGGATATCTGCGGATAAACACAGTAACACAAGTGTTAGGGACGCCATTCTCATTTACCTCGACATTGAAGATTAGATCAGTCTGTATGTTAAGGCCCACGGTAGCACTCACCTGGTTACTAGTAAGGATCTGTTACCAACCACAGTGAGGTTCACTGTGTTCTCCTGACAAGAACCTGAAAACGCACAAGCAACGATGTGTTTGAAATGCAAATTATTCCATGGGGAAACCTAAACATAACCTTTTCACTCCCATTTCCATGGAACACATCAATTCTACCTAGCAACTTCCATTACTCAGGGCAACACCGTTGTCAGGAGACACCATCATTCTTGACTGGACACCTGCCAGATTCTGTGGTTACAACTGGGTGTGAGCTCCATGACGATCACCTGTACAAGTGTAATCCCCTAATGCTAACAGGGTTCAACATTATCTCTAAATATAAAAGTGAAAATTCACTGTTTTTATTACTCGTAAGGGCGACATCATCTCTTACTTCAACACCTGCAAAAACAATGGTGACAAGAAATTGTATCATCACTTACTTAGCTATGTGGAGATGAGATAACCTGTCCTGTGCTTTAGGACCCCAGCCTCTCCTATCTGTGTCCTGCCATAAAGGTCCCCGCTAATGCCCATGGCTGGGTTCATCGTGATGTCTTGACAGGAAGCTGAAAAACACACTGTGGCAAATGTGTTTGGTACGAGTTCATTCTAACAGACAGCTGCAAACTCTCCTGGTCCTTTGTGTTACCTCAGGACCCATCAACGAGGCCTGAATATACTTGTGAAACTCCCAAGGTCAGCCCCAAGTAAGAGCAATCTTCCTCTCCTGAAGGAGTGCCTGCAGAAATCCTGTAGTCGGTGACACAGTGATAGACAATACGATAAAGGACCTGGGAATGTGAAAGTTCCCCGATCAGTCCGAAACCATCTCTAAACAGTCATAAATTCTCAGGCATACTAATTGTTAGGGACAACTTAATTGCTTAACTGCATACAGGCCTCTCACCAGGTTACTGTTAGAGCCTGAACAGTATCATTCATCACACAGATTTCTGAAAGGAATGTCTCCTGGAGTTAATGTCACAGCATCTGAGACCTGGTTACTAGGAGAACCTTAGTTTATCTGCAGAAAGATGGTAATACAAATGTGAGAGACATTATTCTCACTTGCCTTGATCATCTGAGGATGAGATGCTCTTACCCATAGGTAAAACTCTCTTTAGCACTTAACTGGTTCCTGACGAGATTTTGCTAATAACCATTATTCTGTTCGGAGTGACTGCTCGACAGGATCCTAAAAAAGAGGGACAGCGAATGTGTATAAGGCAACAACTCATCCTGGCAGGGTATCTATAGGTAATTTTGGTACATTCTCTCACTATGGGAACCATCAACGTCACCTGGATCATGGCAGAACTTCAAGGTCAACATGGATATGGGAGACATCATCACCTCTTGATTGGCCACCTGAAAAAATCTTATGGTAATAACTGTGGTGTGGAACCTAGATGACTAACCTGCACTCAGTCTCAGTCACTACTGATGTTAGACATACATTATATATATAAACTTGGTGGGGGTGTTAAGTAATCTTTTTTTAAAGGAAGCTCTAAGCCCAGTGCAGGACTTGAACTTACAACCCAAGATCAAGAGTCACGTGCTCCATCGACTGAACTTTAATCCTGTAAGAGCTAATGCTTACTAGCATTGTTTGAGATATGATTTTTTACCTGAATACATACTCAAAGAAACCCAAAACAAAACCACGGTTACACTAATGTTAGTGATGCTATCAAACTTACCTGGAAATCTCTGGATCAGAAGGTCTGTGGGGATGCTTGGGGCATATCATCACTTACCGCAACACGAGCAACGTTGCTGATAAAAATCATTATGAAGGTCATCATGATCTCTTGACAGGAATCTGAAAACCATACTGTGACAAGTGTGTCTACAAACACATATTTCCCACCAGGACACCTGCAAATACCCTCCTCTCTGCCTGGATACCTGCAGTACTCCAAGTTCTGCACCACTGTTAAAAATACCGTCACCTCCTACTGCTGTCAAGTAACACACCGTTGCTACCGTGACATGGAAGTTTGTAATCGTTATATGGATACCCATAAATCATTCAAAACTTCCAGGGTTAAACACATTTTCTCTGAAATAAAGAAAGGTACATGGTTACTGGTATTGACAAGGATACTATCATCTCTAAACTTAAATACCTAAACAAACGAACGGCAAGTGAGAAAAATATGGCAACCAAAAGTTTAGGCAAGTGAATCTTACTTACTTCTCTGTATATGAAAGTCAGATGGCCTGTGCTGTGGTTTAGGCCCACTTCATCACTGACCTTGACACCAGCAATGTCCCATGTTATCTACCAATAATGGGCTTATCATGTTCTGACATGAGCCTGAAAACCATATTGTGGAGAATAAATCCTTCTTCCGCTACACCTGTGATTTCTCTTGGTTACTTGTGGAAGGAACTCTCAGGTAAAAGCTGAGGACATACCTTTCTTTCTTGATGGATACCTGCAAAAATTCCAGGGTCAATAATGCTATGATAGATTATGGGACAGAATACCTGGATCCTTTTGTCACTCCAACTGTTAAATACAAAATATCTCTAAACAAGAATACAGAAAATCACATTCTTACTAGTGTTACTAGGGGCACATTAATTTCTTAACAGAATACATCCCAAAATAACATAAATGTAAGAGTCTCAAACATTAATTATATAGATGCCTGGAAATAAGAATGTCTCTAATAAGATGTCATATCATCTCATACCTGTATACTAACAGAGACCGTAACAGGATATCTGCAAACAAACTCAGTAACACCAATGTTAGCGACACCATCCTCACCTACTTTCCTATTGGAGAGCAGAGGGTCTGGATAGTGGTAGAACCCACGTCATCACTTACCAGGTTAAGAGCAAGGTTACATTAACGAATATTGTTAGGTTCACTGGGTTTTCTTGACAAGAGCCTGAAGAAACACACAGGAAAAATGTGTTTATGCAACTTGTTCTACCAGAACTCCTGCTAATAATCCTTTTCATTTCCATTATCATGGAGCACGTCAACTCTACTTTGATACTTGTATTAATTCAGGTCAACACCTTTGTCAGAAGAGACAACCATGTTTTAACTGGACTCCAACAAAAATACTGTGGTTACTGCTGGCACGGGAACTTCTTGACAATCACAGATACAATCAAATGTCAGCACTCACAGAGTTAAACATGTTATCTCTAAAATATAAAAAGTGTAAAGTCAAGGCCACTAGAGTTGGTAAGGACTCTACCATTTCTTACCTGAATACCAGCAACAAAATCATAGTAACAAGAAGTGTCAGGGACATAATCACTTACCTACATAGTAGGATCAGAAAGAGTGCGCTGTGGTTTAGGCCCACATTATCCCTTACCTCAATATCCCTATATGCCTCATTAAATGTGAGAGGGGAGCCTATTAATCATGAGGTCTTCACATAAGCCTGAAAAACACAGTGTGGAAAATGTGTTCAGTACATGCTTTGTTCTACCTGATCTGGTCTACTGCAGTTTCCACTGGTCAAGGGCATCCCTTTGAGGCTCATCACCACCATGTGGATACATTTAGCAGTCCAAGACTAAAACCTGGTTAAGAGAGACCTTCCCCTCTTAAAGAGATACCTATAAAAATTCCATGTTTAATATTGTGAAGATGGACACTATGATAAAAGCATAGGCAGGTATCCAGATATTCTATCAGTAGGTGTGTATGAAACACAACCTCTGAACAGGAATACAGTAAAATATTGTGCTTACTCATATTGTTAGGGATGAATTAATCTTACTACATACAAGCCAGAAATACAGGTAATATAAGACTACTTAAGTCATCATTAATTACATACGTATCTGAAAAATACAAAGGTCTAATGAGTTAATGCACTGTCATCTCATACTTGTACAACAGCAGAAACTTTAGCATGATACCTACAGAAAAAACATGCTAACTGTGTTCGGGACACCATCCTCACTTACCTAAGACATCTGAAGAATAGGTGATCTCAAGTATGGTGTAACATCCACAATATCACATACCAGGTTATGAGCAGGGTCCCATTAATGGGACTGTAACAGGACTAACTACCATAACCTGAAAAAACAAAATTGACAAGTATGTTTAAGACAAAAGTTGTTTTGCTCTTCCACAGGAGGCCTACACGCCCCCACCGAGGCTGCTGCTACATCTCTAGTGATCCCTGAGAAGTTTCGGCACATTCTGTGAGTATTCAACATCGATATCGATGGGCGACAGAAAAGAGCCTTTGCCATCACTGCAATTAAGGGTGTGGGGTGAAGATATGCTCACATGGTGTTGAGGAAAGCAGACATCGATCTCCCCAAGAGAACAGGAGAGCTCCCTGAGGATGAGGGGGAATGCGCGATCACCATTATGCAGCATCTATGCCAATGTAAGACCCCAGACTGGCTTCAGACAGATGAAAGGACATGAAGGATGGAAAATATAACCAGGTCCTGGCCAATGGTCTGGACAACAAACTTTGTGAAGACCTGGAGTGACTGAAGAAGATTCAGGCCCCCCGAGGGTTGTGCCACTTCTGGGGACTTCGTGTCCAAGGCCAGTGCACCAAGACCACAGGCTGCCACGGCCACACTGTGGGGGTGTCCAAGAAGAAATAAATCTGTAGGCCTGTCTGTTAATAGCTTATACGCCTAAAAAAAGGAAAAAGTTTTTCACCTGGGGGAAAAAAGAATACATATAATTAACACTGGTTATTTCCATCATTAGAAAACCTATCAACACTACTTGGTTCTTGGCATAACTAGAACTTCAAGGTCAACTCCATTGTTAGAGAAGGCATCATCTCCTGAGTACCTGTAAAAAATTTCACTCTCAACACTGTGGTGTGGAACAGGAGGATGACTTACCTGGTCATCCCTCGGTCACCATCTAAACTTTAAATAATTACTAGCATGGTTACTAGCCTACTCTATCATTTCTTACCTGAATACCTGTAAAAACAAAAACAAAAACAAAAACATAGTCATAAAGAAGCTGGGAAATCCATCCACACTTACCCACCTATCAGATGGTTAGATTGTTTCTAGGGAGCTTGAGGCCCACATCATCACTTACCTGGATGAAAGCAAAGTCCTATTATTGATCATTATGGGGTTCACCAGGATTTCTTGACAGGAACTTGAATAACATACAGTGACAAATGGGTCTATAGGATACTCTCTCTACCAGGTCATGGAAATAATCTTGTGCACTTACATCATTGTAGGATCCATCAACTCTACATGGGATCTTTCAGTACTCCACAGTCTATGCCATTGCCATCATGTTTTGATTACCTACAAAAACACCATGGTAACTTGTGGGGTCTGCAACCATTTATTCCATGAATACCCATGAATCATTGAATATTCACATGGTTTTATGTAAATTTCCTCTAAAACACAAAAAACTTAGATAATAGGTTTGCTAGAATTGGTAAAAACGCTATCATTTCTGCCTGAATGCCTTAAAAAAAAACCTGCATGGTAAAACAAATTCAAGTAATCAACAAAATTTAATGGCAAAAGACTCATGAAGATCAGAGGGTCTGATGTAGTGAAAGTACACCTCATCAGATATCCGGATACCAGAAACATACCCCCTTTACCGACCATCATCAGATTCATTGAAGTCTTCCGACAGGAACCTGAAAAACACATGATCTACGTGTAAAGGGACACAACTTGTTCTACCAGGACACCTGTAAATAACCTTGGTCAGTTTATCATTCTGAGACATATCAACTATACCTAAACACTTGTAGTACTCCAAGGTCAAAATCATCACCAGATAAGACAATATTTCTCCATGGGACACCTCCAAAATCGTTGGTTATTGCTGCGGTTGAGGATACAATGTTAATTACCTCGATATGGCAATCCCTCATTACTCACAAGGTTAAACAAAAATCTTTCCTAAAATGTAAAAAGTAAAACTCATGGTTTCTATAATTAGTAAGGACTATCAATTCCTACCTGAACACCTGCAAAGAAATCATGGTAACAACTCTTAGGGACACCGTCAACACTTACCTAACTATCTGGAGATCAGATGGCCTGTGCTGTGATTTAGGGCCACAGCCTCACTTACCCGGAAACATACCAGCAATGTCTGCCATTACCATCAATGCTAGGTGCACAGTGATGTCTTTTTCAGGTTGCTGTCCAGACATGATGAGATCTATGTTAAAGGAAACAACTTTTTTCTAGCAAGGTATCTGCAAATAAGCTGGCTGCTCCATCATTATGCAACACACCAGCTCTACCTGGGTATTTTCAGTAATCAAAGATCAACACTGATGTCAGATAAAATCAGCCTTACTTCACTGGACACCGACAGAAAACCCATGGGTAGTACTATGATGGAAAATAGTGTGATAAACAGCTGGATATGTGCTATCCTTAGACACTCAGAGGGCCAGACAAACTTTTTCTAAGATAAAAAGTGAATGTATCTAATGAGTTAATGTCACATCATCTCGTATATGTAAACTAGCGAAGAGCTTAACAGGAAACTACAAAGAAAGTATGGTACACTGTGTTAGAGACACCATCCTCACCCACCCGGATAGCTGAAACTCAGATTTCCATACTGAGATAAGACCCACTTCACCACGTGTCTGGTTACCAGCAAGCTCCCCCTGACAACCACTGTCTACTTCACTGTGATGTCATGACTGCACAGAACCTTTAGAAACACGCTCAGCAAATGTGTTGTTGCAGGATACAACTTGTCTAGCCGCAGAAAGAAATAGTACATTTGTAAATAATCTTGGTCACTTCCATCATTAGAGGAAGCATAAAAGGACATGTATTTTGGCATAACTTTAAGGTCAACACCATTGTTAGATACACTAACTTGTAGAAATCTCATGGTCAATGCTTGATGTGCGGCAGCAGTAAAAGTTACCTAGACCTGCATAGCCCTTTATCACTACTAACATTAAATACACACTGTATCTAAATTTAAAAAAATAAAAAAGGCATATACTTACTAGCATTGGTTGGGACAGTATCATTTCTTAACTGGAAACCTGCAAAGGAAACATTGTGACAGAACAGTTAGGAACACCACCTACACTTACCTAAATATCTGAAAATCAATTTGTAGGGAGCAGAAGGCCCATATCATCACTTACCTGAATATAAGCAAAGTCCCAGCAATGATCACCTTGAAATTTACCATGACCTCTCAATGGTAATTTAAACAACACTCTGTGAAAAACGTGTCTAGAGACCCTCCTCTGAGACTAGAAATACTATTTGCAGTGTTCGTTGCCATTACTGCAGGACCCATCAGATCTTTCTGGATTGTTGCAACACTTCAAGGTCCATGCCAAACAGATACGCCTTCATCTCTTCCCTGCTCACTTGTGGAAACACCAATATTACGACCGTATCACACCACTCCATGGTTATGGGTATTCATGGCACAATTTGCTCAATACTCATATGACTAAACATACATTTTCTCTGAAATAGAAACACAATAGCATGGTTACTACAACTGGTAAAATCGCTATCATTTCTTACCTGATCATCTGAAAAAAAACATGGCAAACAAGTTTAGTCAATCCATAACACTTACCTAGGTACGTGAAGATCAGATGATTTGAAATGGTGAAGGTGAACATCATCACTTACGTGGGCAACAGAAATGTCCACAGAGAATGACTAGTGTTAGGTTCATCATCATGTCTTGACAGGAACCTAAAAAACACATTATGATATATGTGTAAAAAGGACACAGCTCACTCTAACACAACACTTATGAATAAGCTTGGTCATTCCCATCATTACGAAAGCATCGACCCTGCCTGAGTATCTGTAGCTCTCCAAGGTCAAGACCATTGTCAGGTAATACAGCTTTTACAGGACACCTACAAAATTTCCATGATAAGTACTGTGGTTGAGATATGACCAAAACCTGATATGTGTAATCCCTCATCACTCAGAGTTAAACAAGAGTTTTCTCTAAAAGCTGAAAACTCATGGTTTCAAGAATTAGTTAGGAATCTATCATTTCTTACCTGAATACTTGCAAAGAAGTCATGGTAATAGCAAGTAGCAAGTGTTAGGGATACCATCATGACTTACCAAGCTATCTGAATATCAGATGGTCTGTATTGTGAGTTAGGCCCACATCATCACTTACTATGACATCAGCAATGTCCCATGGTAACTGCCATTGATGGGCTCACTGTGATGTATTGACAGGAGTCTGAAAAAAAAAAAAACCGCTCTAGAAAATATTTTTGGTGCCTATCTTATTCTACCTCTATACCTGTAAATTCCCTTGGTCACTGTATCATTTCAGGAACCATCAGCACTACCTAGATACTTATAGATCTCTAAGGTCAATCCTTGAAGAGACACCTTCCTCTTTTCACAGTATACCTGTGATAATTTCATAGTCAATGAAGTAGTGAAGGACAATATGATTAATTACCTGGATATCTGCAAATCCGTCTATCACCACTATGTTAAGTACACATTATCTCTAAACAAGAATACCAAAAGAAAAAATCTTATTCCTATCAATATTATAAGGGACAAATTAAACTCTTAAAGAAATACATACCAAAAGCAAAGTAAATTCAAGAGACTTGAAATGATAAATTTGTAGATATCTGAATATGGAAAAGTCTTTAGGGGCGCCTAGCTGACTCAGTTGGTGGAGCATGACTCTCGATCTCGGGGTTGTAAGTTCAAGCCCCATGTTGGGTGCAGAGATTACTTAAAAATAAAATCTTTTAAAAAGGGGGCACCTAGGTAGCTCAGTTTTAAGCAGCTGCCTTTGGCTTGGGTCATGATCCTGGGGTCCTGGGATCAAGCTCCTTGTCAGCTTCCCTGCTCAGCAGGGAGTCTGTTTCTCCCCCTCCCTCTGCCCCTCCCCCCTGCTCATGCACTCATCCTCTCTCTCTCAAATAAATAAAATATTTAAAAAAAAATCTTCCAATAAATAGGGGCACCTGGTTGGATCAGTGGGTTAAAGCCTCTGCCTTAGGCTCAGGTCATGATCTCAGGGTCCTGGAATCAAGCCCCACATCAGGCTCTCTGCTCAGCAGGGAGCCTGCTTCCTCCTCTCTCTCTACCTGCCTCTCCGCCTACTTGTGATCTCTCTATCAAATAAAATAAATAAAATCTTCAAAAAAAAAATCTTCCAATAAAGAAAGAAAGAAAGGTCTGGGTCACCTTGGTGGCTCAGCTGGTTAAGCATCAGTTGATTTCATCTCAGGTCATGATCTTGGGGTCATGGGGACTGAGCCCTGAGTCTGGCTCTGAACCCCTCAGGCCCTGTGTTTGAGATTTTCCCTCTCCCTCTACCCCTCCCCCCATTCATAATCTCTTTCTAAAACAAATAAATCTAAAGAAATAGAAGGTCTTTAATTAGTCAATATCACATCATCTCATACCTACATATTAGTAAAAATCTTAACCTGATACCCATAAAAATTAAAAAAAAATACACATTAACACAAATGTTAAGGACATCATCCTCACTTAACCTAGATACTCAAGTTCAGATGGTCTTTATTGTAGTAGGATTCACTTTAACACTTACCTGGTTGCCAGCAAGGCTGTGTTAAAAACCATTTTAAGCTCACCTTGTTTTCTTAACAGGAACCTGAAGAAACACATACAAATGAGTTTAAGATACAATTTGTTCTACCAAGACACCTGCACCCATCCTTGTTCATGTCCATTATTCTGGAACACCTCAGCTCCACCAGCATATTCGCACCAATTCAAGGTCAACGGCATTGTCAGCAGAGACTAATATGACTTAACCGGATACCTGGAAAAACCCTGTGGGTCCAGATGAGATCAACTCCTCAATATGTACATGATTAAACAGAGATTTTCTCTAAAATGTGCAAAGTATAAACTCATGGTTATTAGAATTGGTAAGGACTCTATCATTTCTTACCTGAATATCTGCAACAAAATCATGGTAATGAGAAGTGTTAAGGACCCCACCATCACTTACCTAAGTGTGTGAGGATCAGATGGTCTGCTTGTGGTTTTGTCCCACATCTCTTACCTCACTATGTGCTATGTGTCTCCTTCACTACTCACAGTCATAGTATTAATAGGAACCTGAAAAACAAGCTGTGGAAAGTGTTCAGTACACATCTTATTCTACCTAGACACCCACAGAATTCCCTTGGCCCGTTGTATCATTTTATAACTCATCAAGGTCACCTGAATTACTGAAGAACTCTGAGGTTAAACCCTCATATGAGATACCTTCCTTTCTTGAAGCGGTAGCTGCAAAACTTCCATGGTTACTTGCCTGTCACCACTCTGAGTATAAAAAACACATTATCTCTAAACAAGAAGATAGTTAAGACTCATGCTTGCTAGTATTGTTCAGGACAAATCAAATTCCTAACTGTAAAGATGCCCCCAAACAAGGTTTTAGAAGAGTCTTGGGAATGTTAATTACCTAGATGTCTGAAAATAACCAAAAGTCTCTAATGAGTGTATATCCCGTCGCATCCTACCTCTATTAGCAAAGACCTTAATAGGATACCTGCAAAAAACCACAACACATGTGTTGGGGACACATTCCTTATCTAGATACTGAAGATTGCACAGTATGCACTGTAGTAAGAACCACTTTATCACTTACCTGGTTACTAGCGCTGCTGAATAGACCATTGTTAGATTCACTGTGATTTCTTGAATCGAACCTGAAAAACACATGCAGTGGTTATGTTTAAGAATACAACTAGTGGGGTGCCTGGGTGGCTCAGTCGGTTGGGTGTCTGATTCTTGATTTTGCTCAGGTCATGATTTCAGGTTTGTGGGATCAGGCCCCACATCAGACTCCGCACTCGGTGTGGAATCTGCTTGAGATTCTCTCTCTCCCTTTGCTCTTCCACCCCTTCTCTCTCTCTCAAGATAAACATATCTTAAAACACACACACACACACACACAACTTGTTTGGGGTGCCTGGGTGGGTCAGCCAGTTAAACATCCAACTCTTGATCCCAGCTTAGAACTTGTTCTCAGGGTGGTGAGTTCGAGCCCTGTGTTGGGCTTCATGCTGCCCCCCACCAAGAAAAAGAATACAACTTGTTCTACCATGACTCCTACAAATAATCTTAGCTACCTTCATTATCAGGAAAGTTTCAACACTACCTCGATCTTGGCAGAACTTCAAAGCTGACACTGTTAGAGATGCTATCATTTTTTTACCAAGTGCTTATAGAAATCTCCTGGTCAGTAGTGTTTGGCAGTAGTAGCAGGCAGCCTAGTAGGATAACCTGAATACTTCTTTATCCCTCAGTCTCTTCTATATATAAACATACATTACATCTAAACTCTAAAATACTAAAGACTAATGCTTACCACCATCAGCTAGTACAATATCATTTCTTACCTGAATACCTGCCCTCCACCCCTAAAAAAAAGAAAGAAAGAAAAAGGGTAGCACAAATGTTAGGGACATCATCCTCACTGACCTCAATATCTGAAGATCACCTGATCTTCAAGGGGCTAAAGGCCCATATCAGTACTTACTGAGATACATGCAAAGTCTCTGTTAATGACAAGGATGAGGTTCACTATGAACTCTTGACTGGAACCTGAAAAATACATTGTGACAAATGTTTACCTGAGGACACACACCTTCCATACGGACATCTGTAAATAACCACCTTCATTTCCATCATGGCAGGATTCATCAACCTAGCAGGATTTTTGCAATATTCAAGGTCTAGCTATACTGACACCATCATCTCCTAATTACTTATCTATAAAATACCATGGTTATAATTGTGAGGCAGAATTTCAGGGTAGTGACCTGGAAAAATGCAAATTACTCATTACTCACATGATTACACATACTTTTTCTATACAATATGACAGCAGGATAACATGGTTTTTAGCACTGGCAAAACATCATCATTGCTCGCTTACCTGAATCCCTGCTAAGAGCTCACATAATTAAAGCAGGTCTGGGCAATCCAACATCGTTCGGCCAGATAAAGATCAGATAGTCTGTGATGTGTATATCATCACTTACCCACATACCAGAGATGTCCCGCTGTTACTGACTTAAGACTTCATCATGGTATCTTGATAAGAACCTGAAAAACACTTTATAAAGTATTTATTAAGGAATGCAAGTTTTCTGTTTTAACCAGAACATCTGCAAATAACCACGGATGCTCTTCAGAGCACATCAAGTCTACCTGGATACTCGGATTAATTCAGGGTC